ATTTCCAACAAATATCAGGAAAACTGAAATCACCCATTACTACTACATCTCTCCTTTCTGAATATATTGTTGTCTGTTCCAGAAAGGCATCATTCATTATTCATTCATTCACTTCCAAGCCTTAAAATCTACTATTATGCTTGTGGAATGGATTGGATTACCGATTGGATAAAATTAGAAAATGGTAAGTTTATTAGAATTAGAAGGTACAGAGAACAGGTTCGGTTGGCATGTATATTTATTTTATGATAAATCAAAAGTTAATAAAAACTTCAATGACCATTACATAAGAAAATCACTAATTAGAATCTGGTTAAAATTGAAACCTAGAATATGTAAAGGAATACCAAAATGGGCCTCAATAAATGAAGCCTTTTTTAATAAAACAAAATTAGACAATTCAAGATGGGTTACATATGAAGACTTATTAGAGAAGGGAAAAACGACAATAAAATCATTAAAACAGTTAAAACAGGAAGGCACATGGTTTACCTATTATCAATTAAAAGAAAGATTCAACCAAGATTTGAGATTTGAGAGTTTCAAAGATGCAGATTCAGATTTTGTGAAGATAGTAAAATCAGAAGATAATCATAGAATTAAAAAATATTATAAATTATTTTTAACCTTTGATATGGAGGAAGAAAGAATTAAGCCCCAAATGATAAAATGGGCATACGATTTGGGTCATCAAATAGCATTGGAACAATGGAAAAAAACTTGGAATAAAAGATTAAAATACACACTGAGTAATGACTTGAAAGAAAATTTGTATAAATTGCAATTTAGATGGTATCTTATCCCTTCAAATTAGCAAAAATAAAAAAATAAAAAATGTTAGAAATGTGAAGAAAAAATAGGTGCATACTATCACATGTGGTGGAAGTGTAAATTGGCACAAAGATTTTGGAATAGGATTCATTATGCGATAGAAAAAATATTAAAGATAAAAATTAAGAAATATCCCTTGAGATATCTATTAAGTATGAATATAGAAGAATTAGAAAGCAAATTTGGCAGATTAATTTTTTATTTGACCACAGCAGCCAGAATAATATATGCAACAAAATGGAAACAAACAAACAAAAAATACCAGATATTGATGACTGGATTATGAAATTATATAATATAATGCAAAATGATAAATTAACGCAAATCATACAGAAAAAGCCACATAAAGAATTCAAAGGAGTGTGGAATCCTTTTATTGAATATTTGAAAAGAGAGAAAGATTAATAGTTGATACCAGATTTAGAATCAAAAAATCCATATATAAGTTTAACAAATGGAAATATAAAACCCAAGAAGTAAATATATCACAACTATATCTGTGAAAGAATACATTGCTATGAGGTGCAGTATGGATAGACTCAGGAAATATGGGATTATTAAGGAGAAATTGATATGATATATTTAAGATTCTTTTTATTTAATACATTTTAATTCCCTTCAGAAAATAGTAGGATGATTTTTCCAAAGTAATATTACGGTATAATCGTATTTCTAGATATAGCGAAAGATAGATAATGAAAATCAGGAGAAGAAATGTAATCAATGACAAATATGATTCAGTAGATAAGTGGTGGAAGTCATTTTAATGTTTGTATGTACTTTTTTTTCCTTTTTTCTCTGCTTTGTTTTGTGTATAATTGTTATTTTTTCTTTATGTATGTATATATGTTTTTGTCTTTATTTTATTTTTTTGTCTTTATTTGCTGACGTTCTATGTTCTATAGTGTCTTTTTTAACTAATAAAATCTTTTATATAAAAAAAGGAAGACATGTGGAAATATAAATATGGTCAGATAAATGATTTTACTTTCTATTCTAATCCCCACAATTCATGTTCAAGATTAAATATGTTCTTTACTACAGATTCAATTAAAACTAAAACAGAAAAAAATTGAAGTTTTACCAAAAAATTTATCTGACCATTGTCTGGTAAAAATGACTGTGAAAAAAAGTAAAGCAGATTACTGCTGGAAGTTTGACGAAACATTATTAAGAGATGAAAAAATAGTGCAAAAAGCCAAGGGCACTTTAAAAACTTTTTTTGAGCTTAATATGACAGAACATATGGACATTAATATAATTTGGGAGTAAAGCTGTGAAGAGAGGCTTCTTTATTAAACACAATTATGAAAGAAGAAAAAAGAGGGAGGAGAGGCAAGTAAAATTACAATCAGAGCTAAAATCAGTAGAAGATCAGTTAAAAAAGAACCCGGGAATCAAAAGTTAAAATCACAGATAAATACTCCAAAAACAAGTATCTATGATGTTAGTAGAAGAAGTGGAGAAAAAGCTGAAATTTATAAAACCAAAACAATTCAAATTTACAAATAAACCCAGTAGATGGATGGCATTAAGACTGAAAAAAGAGAAAAAGAAGAGATTAATCATAAAAATAAGAGATAAAGGAAAATTTTTCACCAACCAAAAAGAAATCAAAAATGTTTTAGTGACTATTTTAACAAAAGCTTCAAAGAAGTGAGAATATCTGGAAAAGATCAGACAGATTACTTAAAAAGACAAACTATTCCGGGATTCAAGATAGAAGAAAGGAAAGAACTTATTAGGGAGATAACAACGACAGAGATAATAGAGGCAGTCAAAGAAATGAAACCAGCAAAATCACCAGGTCCAGATGGCCTGAGTGTGTCATATTATAAAAACTTATACAGTGGTACCTCTACTTACGAATGCTTCTACTAACGAAAA